GTTCTTTATATTCAGGTCTAAGACATCTGGAGCTTATTTTTATGTATGGTATGAGGTGGGGATCTAATCTAATTTTTACTGAATCCAGTTTTAAAATACCTGTACCTAAAAAAATAAAATAAAATAAAATAAAATAAAATAAAATAAAATACCTGTACCTACCGTGTGCTAGACATTGTTGTAGGCACTTTGAATACAGTGTTAAAAACAACAACATTACTGTTGGCATTGTGAATTATGTTTCATTAAAGCTGTTAGAATATTCCTGCCCCTGTGGAGCTTACATTGTACTTGGGAGATATATAATAAACATAATAAATAGGCATATTACATCGTATGTTGGGAGATGCTAAATGTTATGGAAAAAATAAAGCAGGATAAAGGAAACTGGGAGTGCTTGGTCGAGAGGGTAAGTTGTAACTTTGAATAGGGTGGCCGGGGTTCGTCTTATTGAGAAGTCGCTATTTGGGAAAAGGTTTAAAGAAGTGAAGGAGTTGCCATGTGAATACTTGAGGGATAATAAAAACTAACCCTGTATCGTACATACTATGTGCCATGCTTTGTTCCAAGCACTTTACATGTATTTATTTACTCACTTAATCCTTACAATAACAGATATTTCAACTGATATTTATGAATTGCACAAAACTTTCTGTTGGGATTTTCGTTGGAATTCCTTCATATATATAGATTATCCTGGAGAGGACTGATAGCCTTACAGCATTGCATCTGGCCATCCATAAGCACGGTCCGGTTCTACATTTATTCACAGTTTCTGTTATGTTCTTCAATAATTTTACAATTTTCTCAATAAAGTCTTAGACATGTTTGTGGGCTTTATTCCTATGTACTTTATAGTTTTGTGGTGCCCATAAACAGTTTGCATATATTTTCAACTTCACTTCCTGTTGCTTAACCTCCCCAACCCCAGATCCTACTGTCTGCGTTTTTGATAGGTAAGGTGCTCTAGTGATTAATTGTGTGTGTGTGTGTGTGTGCCCGTGCGTGTGCACGCGTATGATGAATGGTCTTGCTACCTGATCCTGATCTCTAAGCTGAGTTTGATTAACCCACATAACAACATATCAAGAAAGATCTGAATCTTTCCCCTTTTCCCCTTCATGATTTTTACAAGATACATACTCGTGTCCTGTCTCCTCAATGAGTCTTCAAGCTCCTCAGAGGGCAGTGACCGATGTCTTAGACTCTGCATCTTGCCTGGAACACATGGTAATTACTCAAAACATCTTAGTGTCACTTTCCCCACAATGGGGTTGTTGTACGTTTTCTTCAGTGTCTTCACTCCACTGAGCCCTCAACATGGCTCTCCCTTGATCGTCAAAATTGACTTCCATACATACAGATGCACTTTCTTGCTGGGCTCTTGCCTGTGACCTCCTTTCTGCCAGTAATCCTTCTCCTTTGAGGAAGTGGGAGAGAACTCTTGATGGGTAGCTGAGAGTTCTTTGAAAGGAAATACGTTAGTGAGATGATCTAGTCCAGTTTTTGCAAAAGGTTTATCCATAAAACATTAGTCGATGAGTTGCTCTGGAAAAAAAGGTTTTGAGCTAAAAAAAAAAAAAGCAGGAAGGCCTTTAGGCAAAATTGCCTTTTTGGAGACACATGCCACATTTAAAGTATATTAAAGGAGAAGTTTTATGGTAAAGAAAACAAATTTTGCCTATCCCACTACTTTAAAAAAATTTTTTTAACGTTTTATTTATTATTGAGAGACAGAGAGACACAGAGAGTGAGCAGGGGAGGGGCAGAGAGAGGGGGAGGCACAGAATCCGAAGCAGGCTCCAGGCTCCGAGCTGTCAGCACAGAGCCCGACGCGGGGCTCGAACTCACGGACCGCGAGATCATGACCTGAGCCGAAGTCAGACGCTCAGCCGACTGAGCCACCCAGGTGCCCCTAACTCCTGTATGTTTAAGTTTTATCATGCCGTACATTCTCATATTCTCACCAGAAATAAAAAAAATTTTTTTTTTCTTTGAGTCCTTATACAAAATCAATTGCTATCCATTTATGGAACACTTCTGATGTGCAATAAAAAATGAAGACACTGGCCTTGCTGGACAAGGAAGCTGCAACCCTTATTTTGAGTTGCCCTATTTCCCTCTTCCTATTCCTTGATACTTCTCTGCCCCTGACCTGAATAACCCTGCGTTTTCAGGAGGTGGCCACAGTGTGAGGCAGAAAGAAATGGAAAAGAACACACCACACACGGGCGGTCCCCTGAGGCTACTTCTTTAGAAACCAGAAGAGCAGCAGCAAGATGGGCAGCCTTGACTAGGCAGATTGCACACTGTGGCCGTCTGCCCCGATAATAGAGACTGGAGGCTTGCTAAGCCAACACCTTCCATCAGGGAAGGAATATCATTTTTTATCCCACTTTGAGGCATCTTGCAGTAAAACACATGCACGCACACAAAATGCTTACCTATTAATCACCAACAGCTATATATTAAAAAGGAGGATTAATTGTATTAGGAATCAGATAGAAGATCATTACTGAGCAGGCTATTAGCTCTGACCTTCCTGGATGCCAAGAGAAAATGGAGTCATGATGGTTCAAGGTGCTACCCATTAATGCATGCAGCCTTGGTTGTGAAGATGGTAGCCTGCCCCTACTTTAGTCTCTCATCATTCTCTTCTTTTGTCTTATAGTCTGGCCTGATTTAATAAATTGAATTTGGTGGGTTCCTTCCCTTTATAAGGTGTTTGATCTGAAGAAGGCAATTAGCAACACATAGGAAGTTGGAGGAGAGACTAATATGCATCTCACACTTCACATGGCAAGGTCTCGGGGTTGGACTTGAACTCTCAAACTCTCAAAGGCAAATGCCACAGATTCCATTAGCTAGATTACTACAGCAAGCTATAAGGTCTTTGGGATCCTTTTCCTCCATCCCCCATGAAGTTCTGGAAGCACTGGCCTTTGTCTTATGCTTTTCATACTCCCTCATAGTGTATTCCACTGAGCTTATTTCAAAAACAACCAGGTGTTGGGTGCGTGAACTAAGGTGCCTTCAAGAACGTTTTGTCTCAAGAAGGTGAAAGGGAGAGAGCTACAATTTCTAAGAAGCCTGGTTTGACTCTCTGAGCCTGGTCCCCAGGCAGAATAGGCTAAGGTTTTGGCCAAGGGAAATCGCCAGTTCCTTTTAAAAAAAAAAAGCAGGGGGTGGGGGGTGGGGAGGGCTAGCACATTGCTCATTAGAACATTCTGCATTTGCCTGTGCGATCTTTTTGCTACCCTGCAATTTCCTGTTGGTTATAAATGAAACCTTTCGAGCTGTTAATGCAGCCTGTGAATTGAAAAAAAAAGCATGTAATTAATCATAGGAGTTGGGGGGGATTCACTAAGCCTGAGTTATAGGGGAGAAGCTGGACAAGGCACTAGGACCTAGAAGGCATCTATCCACCCTGGCAGGAATTTCTTGCTTGGAGCTCAGACAACAAAGGCATAGAGAGATTGGTTTTCTTTCTCTCAGCATCTCCACCCAACCAGCCGAAAACCGGTGAGTGGGGCTTTCCAGTGATTTTCAGGCAGAATGTAACAGATGTCAAACGGGAAAAGCACAAGGGTTAGCTTGCTCTAGCAAGCGCTTGCTCTAGCTCTTTCTCTTTCTCTCCTTCTCCTTCTCTGATTTTTTTTTAAATTTATTTTGCCTTATCCTATCGGATTTTTTCCTAAGCCTCTACCTGGGATTTTCCTTTGGAAAAGTGAGTTTGATGTTCCTTTGTTTTCACTGTGATGAATAATACTTTAGAGTAATACCACCCTTGATCCTAAAGCAAAGCCAAGTGTTACTCGCATGCCTGGGGAAATGCTTGCTACTTGTATTGAGGAGGTGGGGTCTCTTACCACTGCAGGTTGTCTGACAGAGACAATGCTGAGCTCAGCACAGGTCATGGTGACATTGGAAGAAAAGGGGGACCGAGCCTGGCAAACCTACTAGACACCCGTCCTCCTTTATCTCCTGTCCTCCTGGTCCCTTGCAAATTTCTCGATGTGGCAGTGTGTAGCAGCTGAGCCCTGCTTGCTTTGTGAGTCCTTTTATCCCCATCTGTGAGATGCATGTTAATAGTTTGGTTCATAGGCTATGGTCACTACCTTTGCTAGTGCTTGAGGCTTCTGTTGTGTTTGGTTTCATGATTTCATTTCTTTCTTTCTTTCTTTTTCTTTCTTTCTTTCTCTCTTTTTTCTTTCTTTCTTCTTTTTTCTCTTTCCTTTCTTTTCCTTTCCTTTCCTTTTCTTCTTTCTTTCTTTCTTCCTTTTCCTTTCCTCATTTCTTTCTTTCTCTTTCTTCTTTCTTTCTTTCTTTCTTTCTTTCTTCCTTTTCCTTTCCTTTCCTCATTTCTTTCTCTTTCTTTCTTTCTTTCTTTCTCTCTCTCTCTGGTTCAGCAGAAAGGGAAAAAATAAATCTGACAGATGACCATCTTTTGCCTCAGCTAATGCACCTGGGCAATAGACAAGTTTGGGGTGAATTGCCCGCTGTGAGGGCAAAATGCCCCTTCAGTCAGGGTAGAAATACAGAACAATGAAAGGTGTGCTTGTTTCTGAAGGTCCCATATGCTTTTCAGGGACTCATTTGGGAATCTTTCAACAATTAAATTATTCCATTAAGAGGTGGGGCTGCATCGTTGGGGAGGGATTGTGCACATATTAAGAAACAAAACAAAAAAAAAAAAAGAAAGAAAGAAAAGGATTTTGTGACCAAATGGTGCCAGAGGGGGCGGGGGGAAGCAGAGCTGATAACTTGTTAAATAACTGATTTTTCTAATCCTTTTTTTCAGCTTATTTCTTATAGAATGTCGGATAGCTGCACCAGCTTGGTGGGGAAAGGGTTTGATGAATAGCACAAAGACAGTAGCTACTCCCTGGAGGCTGTCCCTTTAAAGGAGAATCCTGGTTTATTCTGGGGGGAGGGGATGCACACATTAGGGTAGGAAAGAGGGTTGGGAATAAAATTAAAACATTCCCCGTTGTAGTCATTTGACGGAGGCACAAAGATTGCTTCCCAAACTGGAGATGCTAACCTCAGCTAGCGCCTTCTATTCTCTTTAAGGGGATCTTGTCAGGCTATGGATTCATTTACAACTGTTAGTCATGTGGGCATGTGTGAGGAAACAGATGCCAGTTTTAATGTATTTAGCCCGAAGTTACAATTTGATAGGAGCCACTGTCAATAAGTCCCAGGATTTTAAGCGATTTCAAAATCCCTCCCTCTCCTCTGTTTTGGAACAGTGCCCAAAGTGCCTCCTTCCCCATCTCCCACCCCAACCCCCCACCATCGCCAGCACCCCCTCAGCCCCTCCTTCTTCTCTATTAAGATCAATATTCCTGCAGGTCAGGGGCAAGCAGCAGATGGGTCACAGGCTTTTTTCGAGCAGTTCTTTTCACAAGCAGCAGATTGCAGAACTGGATCTGGCTAATATTTGAATTCTTTTCTTTTCTTTTTTCCCCCTCCCTGCCCCTCTTTCTTTGCCTCCCCTCACCCCCTTTGTCCAACACTCAGGTCTCTGAGGTTCCACCAAAATATGGAACTTGATTTTGGACATTTTGACGAAAGAGACAAGACATCCAGGAACATGCGAGGCTCACGGATGAATGGGCTGCCCAGCCCCACTCACAGCGCCCATTGTAGCTTCTACCGAACCAGAACCTTGCAGGCACTGAGCAACGAGAAGAAAGCCAAGAAGGTACGTTTCTACCGCAATGGGGACCGCTACTTCAAGGGGATTGTGTACGCTGTGTCCTCTGACCGTTTTCGCAGCTTTGACGCCTTGCTGGCTGACCTGACTCGATCTCTGTCTGACAACATCAACCTGCCTCAGGGAGTGCGTTACATTTACACCATTGATGGATCCAGGAAAATCGGAAGCATGGATGAACTGGAGGAAGGTAATTTCAAGGGTGGTGGCTCTTGGTGGGAGGTGGCATCGTTGGCTATGGTTACATTTCTTGGAGTTCATGGGAAAAAAAATTAGGAATTATGTTTGTCAGAGCACCAGGTCGATGCCGAGACTCTCTGATCCTATAGGCATCGACAGACCATTAGCCATTGCTCTTCATGGCCTTTAGTCTCTGCTGGCGTTGGAGCGTGGTTGGCGGTGATAATGCATTGTGCTCATCTGTCAGGGTACAAAGGAAAATCTGAATTGTGTCATTTACTCTGGATCTTGTTCATAGTCAATTCTAAGTAGCATTATTGAGGCAGACCATGAACTCCTTAGGGCTGTAAAATGAAGAAGGAACTTTGGTTGGGTTAACAGAAAGGTATCCAAATATCCTTTGAGCTGCTGAGAGACTGTGAATTGCTGCGCATGGAAGTAGGCGTCCTAAAAGCAGGACTTCCTGGACATATTCATAAAGGATTATCCTTTTAGGTAAGTGGTCACTGCTCAGCTGTTGCTTCTAAAAAGCCCACTTCAGGGTGTGTCCCTAAGGCTGAGGTCATTGAGAGAAATGCCAAAGAAAGCTGTAGGTATGTCTGGTATTTTAATAAAGACTATTCCTATTAGAATAGGAACTGACTCACTGTACCTAAGTCCCTTTAAATCCTCTCTAGAGTTTGGTTCTACAATCGGATTTTATGACTATGTTGCTGAAAACCCAAAAAACCTGGTACCCTCTCAAAAAGCAGGGACATCTCAGCTCTTACCAAAACCTTGCTCATCCACGACGCCTTTCTCTGTGGTTATGTAGAAGATTGATCTTGGGACACGTGCTTAATACTGTACGTTATCAAGTCAGTTATATGGTGGATGCCTCCCTATCCCCGCTTTTAAATCGCTATAACATCGAATCCGTTTAACTTGACACAGTGCTTTAAAGGACAGCTTCGAGGGACAGTGATCATGCAAATGGCCCTCCCCAAACCCTTTCCTCCAACCCTCTAGCCCCACCTCCTCACCCCTTCCATTCCCTGAGGAAAGGTGAGTTTAGAGCAGGCAGATCTCTAGGGAAGCCAGATTATGAAGCAGCCAACAAGGAATGAGAAACAGCGCATTAAATGACTTGGTGTGGGAGTGCCCCGCCTCTGCTTCACTGCTTCTAGCTTTCTTGTGTTCTTAGACAAAGGAGCATGAGGGCTTCCCTTGCACAAGACCATGTTCTCGCAAGTCGCTGCTGTTTGTCAGGCCAGGTCAAGGGATTTGGGGCCAGTTGCTGATAAGAGACAGTGTCCATACAGCTACTGGCTCTGGGTCTCATGGTTCAAGTCTGAGGTTTTTTCACATAACTGACCTTGAAAAACAATGCTAAGAAGGCTCAGATTATTTGATCGTGTGCCAGATGACCAGGCAGAGGTTAATCTGAGACTTTTTCTGAACATGCAAGGATTGACTATCCTAGCACGTATCTTAAAGGAGAGACAGGGCAAACTAGAAGGACTTGGCCCGAGGTTGAGGGAGCTGTCCAACAGAGTAATTGATAGGGTGTTCATCTTTTGTCACTGTAAAGCCCATGTGTCAGTCGAATCTGAGGGGTGCCTCCGTCATAATTTTCACAAACAAAGCACCTTGAATCACCCAGTATGTCCTCATTGCCACTAGTTGTGATTTGTTAAAGGCCATGACAGATGCTAAGGCAGAATTCTGAACCAAGGGACATTGTATTTCGAGTAGGAATTAGAATGTTCTTGTGTCTGATCTAAGAGAAGTGTCATGCACAGATTTCCCCCCTCCCCAGATCCATTTTTTAACATATCTTGCTCAAGGACAAGCCCTTGATATTGATTTTTTCCCCTAGATGTGTGTGTGTGTGTGTGTGTGTGTGTGTGTGTGTGTGTATGTTTTGTGATAATCTCAGTTCAATATAGATAATAAATGTAATTTTGAAGACTGCACCCTTTCTCCTGACCCTTTTGAGTCCTGCTAGATTGGACTCTTCCCCTGGGTGCATTGGTAGTGCTTCCTGGGTTATATAGAATGTAAAGAAGGCTCACTCGCCTTTATGCATGTATCATCTGCATCCACAAGCTGCAGTGACCTCCCAGTCCTTAGTACTGCTCATTCAGTCAAGGAAATTCTGGGGTATCTCTAAGATAATATTGAGAAATGTGGCCAGCTTTCCCACTGCTGCAGAGCCAGATGGGAAAGGGCACTGGGGATGAGGAAGATAAAGAAGAAAAAGGTTTTTTTTCTCTCCTGTTTTGCCCTTTGGAACTACTCTTCTGGGAATGGAGGGCAGAAGCCCCTCACTTTGTTCACCATTGGAAGAGGTTGAATGAAAGATTAAGAATATTCATGCACACTGTTCCCCAAGAGACTTCACGCTGAAAAAGTTTGGAAAGATCCCTGTTGAAGAATCAGAGGCAGCAGGTTCTAGTCTTAGAGGCAGAAGGTTATTGCAGGAAAAGGAGTCTTTGGAATCAGATTTGTTTCCAACCCAAGATCTGCCACCTGCTAGCTGGTGTGACCTTGGGGAAACCATGTAGACTCCCTGAGCCTCAGTTTTTCATCTGTAAAGTGGGAATAGCTGCTTTGAGGATTAAATAAGAAAATGGGTATGAAGTTGTTTACTATTATTCCTGGTATACAGGAATAAAGGGTAGCTCTGACTGTTGGGTTGTCCTAGTTTATAGCTGGTTAGCTACATAACTTATCGTCACGGTAAATAATGTTCTCCTTTGTAAAACAGCATTTTTGAAGAAAACTGCCATTTTAAGGTATAATTTACACAATGTAAAAATCACCCATTTAGGTGTACAATTCAATGATTTTTTTTAATTTTAAAATTTAAAAAAAATAATTTTTAAGTTTTTTTATTTATTTTTGAGAGACAGAAAGAGAGATAGAGAGAGAGGGAGAGAGAGAATCCCAAGCAGGCTCCACACTGTCATTCCAGAGCCCAATGCAGGGCTTGAACCCACGACCCATGAGATCAATCAAGAGTCAGACGCTCAACCAACTGAACCACCCAGGCGCCCCTACAATTCAATGATTTTTAGAAAATTTACCAAGTGATGCAGCCATCATCATAATCTAATTTTAGATAACTCTCGTCACCCTGAATGGAAACCCTGTACCAATTAGCTGTCATTGTCCATTTCCCTCACTCTCTCCAGTCCTAGGCAACAACTTACCTACTCTATGTCTCCACAGATTTGCTTATTATATAAACTGAATCATATACCATGTGGTCTTTTGTGACTGGCTTATTTCCCTTAGAAAAGTGTTTTTAAGGTTTATTCATGTTATACCATGTATCAACACTTTGGTCCCTCTTATTGAGGAATAATACTCCATTGTATGTATGAACCACATCTTGTGTATCTATTGTAACATTTGTGTGAGACTAGTAACACCTGCCTTCTTTACCTATCAGGGTGGTTGTGAGGATATAATTAGATAATAGCTATGGAAACGCATCGACAAGGTAAAGCTATAGCTACAAGGTATTATTGTTAATGATGTAAAAAAATAAAGCAATAATGATGACACTACTGAGGGGGTCAGTGGGATCCCAGAGCCCGTGGGATGGTCAGTGGCTCCCAAACCTGGCTGCCTTTCAGATTCTTTCAGAGATTCAGGAAAATATCAATTCCTGGGTCATACCCCAGATCTATTGAATCAGAATCCCCAGGGCTAGGGCTGCAGAATCTATGTTTTTAACAAATCTCCCCAGGTGATCTTTTAAACTTGAGAAATACTGGATTAGGTGATCCTGATGGTCCCTTTCAGCTAACTACAGTGATGGGAGTTCCTAGGAGTGAAGAAGTCCTTGGTTTTGTTTTGTTTTGTTTTTTTCCTTTGTAGACCTTAAAGGAATAATGGAGCATGGAACATACGGTTTCCAAATGGCCACGTTGTTAAATATTTAGAAAAAAATAAAATGAAATAAAAAACAATTGGTATTGGTTAATAATCACTCTGGCCTGTTACACTCCTTGTCTAATGCCTCTAGTCTACTGTTTGCTGCTAGATGCTGAAAGTCGCAAGGGTGACATTTTGGACCCAAATCAGGTTATTTATCTCAGCTTTTCCACAGCTCTTTGGGTACACAAGGAGTCTTAGTGAAGCCATGTCGGCTGTGGTCGTATTATGTGTTAGTCATATTCCCAGCGGGTCAATGAATGTGACTCTTCCTTTTGTCTTGCTTAGTCTTTCCTTGCAAAATCATTCTCCTTCCCTTCCTGCCCAGTTCCTTCCTCACTTCTTTGTGAGTGCCCAGATCAATCTTCGGGGTATTATTTTGAGCGTTATTACGTGGAGCATGGGACAGAATATTGACAATTGGGACCGTCTTGCTGGAAAATCTGAGTTGAACAGTGACATCAGTTATGATCCAGACCCTTTGCCATAACTCATTTGAGATGAGATGAGATGAGATGAGATGAGATGAGATGAGATGGAACCACCTTCTCACTAACTTATCCTCTAGCTCCTAAAGCAAGCACATTGCCAAAGAGAAGGATTTAAAGACACCTGGGAGACAGGTACATCATTAATAGATAGGATAATACAATGCAGTATCATTTAATATTTTCCTTCTTGAATGAGGAAGTTCTGGAAAAGAGGAGAAAGCCCAGGCAGAAGTGTTTTCACACTGAGAAAATATGAGTGTATTTCATGTTTTTGAAAATGGAACCATCCTGAAAATGAAGGGAGGTGGACATAGATCATCTTTAAAAAAATGTTTTTTAATGTTTATTTATTATTTTTGAGAGAGAGAGAGAGAGAGAGAGAGAGAGAAGGGGAGGGGCAGAGAGAGAGGAAGACACAGAATCCGAAGCAGGCTCCAGGCTCTGTGCTGTTAGCACAGAACCCGATGCGGAGCTTGAACTCAGAAACCACAAGATCATGACCTGAGCGGAAGTCGGACGCTTAACCGGCTGAGCCACCCGGGCGCCCCGACATTAGATCATCTTGAGCCCATATCCTGTTCCCTTCCTGCCCTTTCAGCTGTGCTTCCATGACTTCATTTCCTTACCCTCTTTCCCCCTGAAGCAGATCGTCAGTTCCAGCAAATTGTCACCTTGCCTGGCTCTGGCTTTCTTTCTAGGCTCCCAATGGGTGGGAAATGGCCCCTGCAAGCTGTGGCAGGATTGGAACCCAGCTGTGTAAAGGTGCAATACACCTCATCCAGCTCCAAGTGCCAGGCAGCTGGACGGGCAGGAAGCACCCAGCTCTGGCAGCAGATGTTGCCGATGTTTGCAAAATGAGAACAAGGGAGCCTTGGTCTAGAGACGCAGCAGCACGTTTGATGTCTTTCCAGTGGTACAAGTGGAGAGTCCTCAGTAGTGGGCGCCTATTTCTTTAAAGTTTAATGACCCTCATAACGTTACCTCCTCCAGCCTTTTGGGGATGGAAAAGAGAAGAAAATTCCTTCTCGTGGATCTTTAGGTCTGGAAGGAACTGAGATGTCACCTAGTGTAATACCTTCTATTTATAGATGGAAAAGCTGAGACTTTGAGATTAAATGATTTGCTGAGGTCACACAGCTCCCAAAGGCCTGATTGGGACTGGGATTCAGGGTCTGACTTCCCAAGTTGCTGCCCTTGACCACTGTAAATATCCTGCCCTCTGGTCAGGGATGTTTGATTACAGGGGAGGCTATGCATGTGTGGGGACAAAAGTTGTGGGAGAAATCTCGGTACCTGCCCCTCAATTTTGCTGTGAACCTAGAACTGCACTAAAAAGTATAAAGTCTTAAAAGGATCCTGCCCTCAGCATGCATCATCAGTGGCACCACGTGGCTTCGCTGGGTGTTAACCATGGAGTCCTACATGTGACTTTTTCAACAACTGGATACCTCCTCTTATCCAGTAGGAAACTGTTATGTTCGAGGCATGAGACCTGGGTAGTGGTCATGTTATATACATGATTATAGCTCAGTTCCAAGATGGCTGCTGCTGCTTCTTTCTTTTTTTTTCCCTTGGGCTTTTCCTCCTCCTCTTTTCATCTCCTTCCCCTCAGCTCTTTCTTCCTCCTTGCTTCTTTCCTCTTTCTTTCTTGTTCTCTCTCTATTCTTTCAGATGAGGGCCTTAATGATAACCATAGCTAGAGTTTCTCAAGTGTTTCCCATGCACTAGGCTCTGGGCTCAGCAGTGTCTATCCATCATCTCATTTGTGCCTCACCACAACCTTACGAGGTAGGTATTGTTATTATCATTCCCACTTTGCAGACAACTTACTGAAGCTGGGGGAGGTTAGGTAACTTGCTCAAGGGCACACAGCTAGGAAGTGTTGGAGACCCTATTCTGACTGACATCACATCAGCTGCTCTTTTTCCATTACTCCATGTTGAGGCCAAAAGGAGAGAGTGGAGAGACTAAAATGTACTGTTGGAAGGTGCTCAACATAGATTTGGCTGAGAGCTGGGCCCTCTGGAAAGTTCTTGGTGCCATATGATACTATAGCTGTCTGCCATCATGTTCATTTTCATCTGGGGGTGGTTAATCATACTCATAGTTCAGAGGCTTAAGAGGTTTAAGACATGGGAGCAAACTAAGTCCAGAGTCCTAATAGGGCTACACAGCTGACTCTCCAGAGGAGACTGTAGATGAGTGAAATCATAAATATATAGCCTCACACATTTCTACACCACCAGTTGTCAGAGTTTTAAAGTACTTGACAAGTTATGGAAAACATCTGACTTAAAGGCACTAACCTCTTGGAAGGTACCCGTGAATCTGGTGGAGTGCTAAGGCAACGGGTCATCTTGAAGGGTGTGGGGGGATATTGGCTGTGAGTAGATGGGGGAATTGAGCGGGCTCCTTCACCCCTTAAAGTCACAAATTAAAGACCCTAGCCTCTAATCCCTTGGGTTAGGTTGGATTTGCCAGCAAGGGAGCGAGAGAGTTTAGGGTTTCTTTCGACTGAGTTCTTTACGCCATCCTGGGTGTGCGTATGTGCACCACGTGGGAGAGGACGCATATGTTCACCTACAAACCTCCCCCTGGCCCCCTGGCAAGACAGAACACCAATGGCCTCTTGGACTCAGAGCAGTGTTGGAAGCCACTCACCCTTCCCCTTCACAAACACACATAAATGTCCTCAAAGGTGCCCTAGAGAATCTGACTGAATCTTCTCTCAGCACTAACTGAAAAATTTATTAATTAACATGACTTAAAGGATTTGGCGCTGCAGCAAAGCAATCAATATTTGCAAAAGGAGGGAATTATCAGCCCGGTGTTTCTGAATGTCCCTGCATGGTTCTCCTGCTGAGACCAAAGGAAGAAGAGCCATCAGTCCATAATTGTGTGTAATGCTTTCTTTGCACTGGCTAGGGTGGATCAACTTATTTATTTAGAATTGTTACTGATGAGTTAAGCCTGATTAACTCACACTAGTTTTCTGCAGCTTGACCTCTGGATGAACTTCTATATACCTTCAGGCTAATGTGTTTTACTCAACAAATTCAACCTTTTCCAATACTGTCTCCTCCAGGCTGAGCTTACCTCTCTTCCTCTTTTCTCCAGCTTCTAGTCCCAGGTGTCTACTCCCCGCCACTGCCTTGCCTCTGGCCCCGGTGTTCCTTCCGCTGTATTAGTCATTTCCTGTAGCCCAAGATAAATGTGAAAAGTACACTAGATTCCTCCAATCCATAAATCTAGCTGTATAACATATTCTTACATCTCCACCTCCTTACTTGTGGCAGCCAAGGGTGAGTCCTGGTGAAGAGAGCCTTAAACACACAGATCTAGTGTGTAGCATTGGGGAAGATGCAAAGATGAGGGGTGGGTGGTAGAAACAGGGGAAAGTATTTCTCAAGCAACAGCTAGATTTGCAAACATAAGCAACGGGGTGTGTGTGTGTGTGTGTGTGTGCGCGTGCGTGCGAGCACGCGCATGTTGTTATTCAGGCAGTTTCTCCACTTTGATGTGGAGGTGAGCAGTAGAGGACACAATTGTATACATATATATGTATATATATATATGTATATATTCACCACATACATACATTTCACATTTCAATATTCCACTGCTTAGCCACATACTCTGTGCAAAGGACAATCTGGCTTCTTGGCAGGTATGTACTATATGCCCAATGTACAAGGATACTTGGGTCACTTTAACTTGGGATAAACTATTAATTTTGAAAGTTCTCCCTGGTTTATAATATAACCATGGAATGTGGCTATGAGTCCAGAAATAGGACAGGAACATTAAGAAATAGAAACATGTTAAAAACACTCCAGTAATGCCCCCGAATATCAACAAACATCCTAGAAATTAACATAAACATTTCAATTGCAATAAAATCGTATCAAACTCTACACTCTGGATGGAAACAAACATACTAGAAATGAACATAAACATTTCAACTGCAATAGAACCGTATCAAGCGAGAGAACCCTGCTTGTTAGATTATACTTAGATGTATGGGTTCATTGTCCTTAAAACCCTTAGCTTTATAGGATTTTTCATCTCTTGAACTTGAATGATCCAAGTTTTAGAGAGACAGCCCAGTAAGAAATTGTGCCTACAGTTGGCTATTATCACCGTATCTCCAAAAGCCCTACTCCAAGGTCAATGTGCATTAGTTTGGTTAGAATGGTCCACATATCCGCTGTTGAACTAATCACCACTTATTTCTTCCCTTAGGGGAAAGCTATGTTTGCTCCTCAGACAACTTCTTTAAAAAGGTGGAGTACACCAAGAATGTCAATCCCAACTGGTCTGTCAATGTGAAGACATCCGCCAATATGAAAGCCCCCCAATCCCTGGCTAGCAGCAACAGTGCCCAGGCCAGAGAGAACAAGGACTTTGTGCGCCCCAAACTGGTGACCATCATTCGCAGCGGGGTGAAGCCTCGGAAGGCTGTGCGTGTGCTTCTGAACAAGAAGACAGCCCACTCTTTTGAGCAAGTCCTCACTGACATCACCGAAGCCATCAAGCTGGAGACTGGGGTTGTCAAAAAACTCTACACTCTGGATGGAAAACAGGTAGGTACTTTTTTTTTTTTTTTTTAAAGTACTCTTCTTCTCAGTTGTTCTAAATGCCTGGATGACCATCCTGCACCTCAGGCATCATTTCTGGTTGGGGTCTCTTCCTCCGCCTCCCATCATCCCTACCTGATATTTCGGGTATCATTTGGAAGAAAGGTCTTTTCAGCAGACAAAACATTGGACTAGAAATCTGAGGCTTTGAAATTCAATCTGCTTCTGTTTCATCAAGTAGGATGGTCACTTAGCCTCAGCTTTCTTATCTGCTGAGTAAAGGACCTAGAACCTAGATCCTACACGTTCTTATAAATCTGAATGGGGCTATCACGTGATGCAACCTTGATCACTCAACGCGTATGCCTAGAAATGAGATTTGCCGGCTCATTTCTTCTTAGATGGCCTTAGGTTGGTATTCAGCATCCATTGTGGTGAAAAGAGGTTGAAGTAGCCCTCATGTTCTGTGAAAGGACTCGGATACAGGGGAAGCACTGAAGTCTCTGGTTCCTTGTCTTTGCCTCACACTAGACCACATTTTTCCTTTCTCCCTTTTCCGTGTGACATGGCTGTCTTAATTTGGTTCCACTGATGGTTTTGTGTGAGAAAGGGACTATTTCAGGATCCTAAAATTAGCCCAAGAAAGATGCTGCCATCTGTTCCTCTCCAAATCAGGTTCTTCATGTCATTGGTTATGCTACTAAAGTGCCACCTATATTAATATCTGGGAAAGAATGCAGCCAGGCGTCTCCATCAGACAGATGCACCATTCTCTTGAGCATAGGGAGCTGTAAATGTATGACAAAATATGTTCCAAGAGAATTGGAACACTGGCTGGTTCTGTTAGCTCTAAAGAGAATCCTGGTCCCCCATGAGAGAAGACAACTGCGGATTATTATTGGTCCGTACTCTCTACCTTCTTAAAATACCTTTGGTGTGTACGCAATTATATAGATTCTGAAGAAGCAGATTCACTCTCCATCAGAATGACTGATGAGTGTTCAAATGCAGAACTGTGTCTCCTCCCATGATTTCTGACATATACTGAATGCTGCAAGAGTTTAAATCTCTGGTAAAACTCAAACTCACATATTTGGGAATGTTTCTAAATTTGTGACTTTTACATGTTCCTCATTCTGTGATCTGAGTGATGCCTGGATGCATTGGTTGAATGTGATTTGTGTTTGTTGTACCAAAGCAACGAATTTAACTGCCATGGGAAAAGTCCCAACTCCAAGCGTCTCTTAAAGAGGATCTCTTTCCTGAGGACCAAGTACATAATAAACAGGAGCTTCCCAGGAGCAGGCGGAATCATTGGACACCTCATCTTGGGGAAATAGAAGCCAGGGGTTTTATGATCATTGGATCTTAGCGTTGACAGTGACCTTAGAAGCCATGACATTTAATCTCCCACCTATGGCAAGGATATACTCTGCAACCATTTCAATTTCATAAGATAGCCTATCCCACTGTTGAAAACCTGTGATTTTTAGAAAGATTTTCCTTATATCGGGCATAAGTCCACATCTCTATACCTTCAGCCTCTTGGAGTAACGTGTGACAAATACAAATCAAGGACTTAAGACTGAGATTCAGAAGACCTGGTTTTTATTGTAATATTGCAACTCACTATGTGACCCTTGGGCTAATCACTTAACTTTCCGAAGCCTCCCACTTCTCTATACAAGGGGGCTGATGACACCTGCCCTACCCATGCTCACAGAATTCACCTGAAGATCAAAAGAAATAATGGATACGAAAGCACTTTGTAAATTAAAACACAAGATGTAAATATGTATGCATACGATTCGCCATTAAACCAGGTATGTCAATTGCTAGACAATTTAGATATATATCTACAAATGTTAGTTCCTTTCCCTCTACTTTCCCTCCATCATTCTTAGCACAAATTCTCAGCATTTTATGGAGCTATACCACACCTTGGCATTCTGTGGTTGCTCTTAGTGGTAAATAAAGCCACACCTCCACCTCTTACGCGAGCAGGCTCCAAACCTATGATGGGTGGATTTTCATCCTACAGCAGGCCACACAGAACAGCAAGCTTTCTCCAACTCCTTCAAGCATTGGCTCCCATTTCTTTGGGGAACACAGGATAAAATGTTAGTGTATGATATAGTGTGTGTCCCGAAACATCAGTAGCAGTGCTCAAGGGAATAGGACAAACCTTTGTCAGGCATCAGTACCTCTGAATACAGTTCCTTCTCCTTAAAATGTCACTTTCTGCCTGCTTGGACCCCTGAGGGTGTCTTTTAAGGCCTGTTTCAAATATCATATTATCCCTGAAAACTTCTCTGTCTTCAGGTTCTTGCACCTCTGTGCAAGGTTAAAGCAATCTTAACCTTTTTTTTTTTTTTCATTCTCAGTTCTGATACATTGTGGAATCTCTATAAATGTTTGTTGATTGAACAGACTGACATAAAGCTATTCTAACTTGGCCTAGGTAGATGTTCTGAGATGTTCTGAGAAGCCCTCTGCGTTCAGTGCCCCAAACACCATCTTTAGGTCTATCAGAAAAGATAGGAGGCTTCCAAAGGAGTGTGTATTCCCCCTGGGGAGCTCCTATTTGTTACTTACGTGGAAGTCATGGCAAGTCATGGCAAGTTAAGGCAACATTTCCCAAAGTATATTCTAAAAACCGTCCCCATCTCCTGCTCCCCAGCAGCTTTTCATAAAAGGGTTCTGTGGTCAAATAATGTTGTGAAATGTTGCAAATTATAAGCCCTTCTTAGAGATTCATGGTGCTCATTGGCACATTAAATGTTCTGAGAAGTCCTGCAGAAAGGAAACCAATTTAATTAAGACCCACGATTTCCCCGATTTTATTTAACCACACTTTTTTTTTATGGGATATACATGTATATATTCTGAAGAGCACACTAGGAAATGCTGTTTACAGAAGATGCTGAATGATTAGGAACTAACTACCCTAACCTCACTGGTTAGATTGGTATGCATGGGGTAACCCACAAATCAAACATTGTTGTGCGGTTACAGAAAGGACATTAAATAACAAAATTTGGGGGTGCAGGGACAAACCTACTAATTACAAAATAGGTGCTGAGTATACTGAAAGTTAGCCAAACTCAAAATCTTGGAGCCCAGCCCATTCCCCAATTCTGGTGATGACAGCTCTAATGTTAACACCTGTCAGTCACTTTGATTACTGGTGGGTATTCTTACTGCTTGGGAATATGATCTTCCTCAATGCAGGCTGAAGGCACATGTGTTGCAATGGTTTGGACGCGCTTGGATATTCCATGTCTGTCTTTGCCTAAATGTGGCACGAGGCAGAAAGGACAACGTATGGTCAAGGCTATTTGTTATGGAACATTTTAATCATGAAATCAAGGCCATCACTTGGATTTGGTCTTGCTTCAACTGGATCTCAGACTGACAAAAAATCACGTGGTTTTCTCCCCCTTTGTTTGAATAATGATCAGTTAAAACAGCCCAGTTGATTATTCCAGATTTATTGTTGCTTCTGCTCTTCTGCGTACAGTTTGATTGATTGGCTTACGCTGATTGACAAGAAATCTACGGACATGGCTGTCATCTCTTTCTCTCTGTTTTTATTTTGGATGGCTTTTGGAGCCCTTGGTCTTTTTAGGGCTTATGATTTTCCAGTATAGAAGACAGATTTCCTGACTCATTGCCCCTGACATATTTGTGGTCTGTGTAGACAGAGGAACTAACCATCATCAGTACAAAGGGGTCCCAACTTATTCCTCACCTCAATAAGAAGTTGCTAATGAAATGAGGAGTCGGCAGGACCCTTGCTAATCTCATGGGCTATAATGGATTTCTAGGAGGTCAGGGCAAATATGAAGGGTTAGATGATGATGTATGTTAGTTAACTCCCAGATGAGATTGGTTTTTTTTTTTTTGATTCTTTGGCAGCTGGAGTGGTTTTTGCAGTGTGTTGACAAAATTATCCAAATATTAATTTTCATGGTCAAGCCACATACTTATGTTTAAAGATCATGGATGCGTAAAAACTAGAACCCAAATTTCTGGTTCACTTGGTGGTAGTACTAGCTCAGTAACCTAGTCTTAAATTCATTTGTTTTAAACATTGTATTTATTTATGTATTTATTTATTTACTGAGAGAGGGAACGAGGGGCAGAGGAAGAGCGAGAGAGAGAATCTTAAGCAGGTTCCGTGTCCAGCACCGGGCCCAAAGCAGGACTATATCTCACAACCGTTGAGTCATGACTTGAGCTGAAATCAAGAGTTGAACGCTTAACCGATTGAGCCACCCAGCACCCCCCAGCCTTACATTCATTTCTGTAAAGCATAGAGCATGGTGCTTCCATTGGAGATGCAGAGCTTTAATAATAGACTTCTAGCTTTTTGGCATCTTAAACAGGGGTGCAGCTGGTTCTCACACCATCCATATTCATGCTGCACTTATTGGCATCTCTGGTCTCAGTTTTGTCCACATGCAGGGTCTGTGCAGTCAAAGATTTATCACTGCCTCAAGACACGTGCCTAAGGGCTAAGTATGCCCTTTAGTATTTGTGTTACCTTTGTTAGGCCCATTTTCAATTGGGTGAATTTATTTTATGTCTCTATATCTTTCTAGTACCAACTACTTGGACCAGAATTTTAGGTCTCAGAAAAATAACATGAAAGGGTTTTAGGCTGATTCCAAGGTGACCCATAGCCTTGGAAGCTAGAACAGGAGTTTTAAGACATGTTTTGAACCATAAGGTGATGAAATAGGAAAATGAGAGCACAGAGGATGTTTGAATGACTGTTAAGTATTCCAGAAAAAATTTGTTCCGTCTTGCTATACTAAGTAACTGGGTGCTGCAGGCACAAAGGGAATCACGGGAAACACAGGAAGACAAGGTGGATTTAACCTTGAAAATGTTGAGTGCATTTCCCAAGGTGAATGTGTTCTTACTTTGCCTGTGTAGCCAGGTTTTCTCTCCCCCGCCCCCATCATCTCTGCCCCCTCCAGCCACATCTGGTCTTACTTATA